TCAATCAAAAAAAACAATATAACAATCTTACGTAAAATTTACTTTAATTTAAGGTAAATCTTATACTTGTTAGGTCCCCCTGAAGTACTAATGGACAATGTTCTTATACTTGTTAGGTCCCCCTGAAGTACTAATGCACAATGTTCTTATACTTGTTAGGTCCCCGTGAAGTATTAATGCACAATGTTCTTATACTTGTTAGGTCCCCGTGAAGTACTAATGCACAATGTTCTTAATAAGCGTGATCAATGTTAGAAACATTTGTGTAAGTTTTGACCAAAAGTGTGTCTGCCTTGTGTGCGCCTGATTTCATGTTAATAATCATTCATGCATTTAATTTATTTACAGTAATTTGTAAACAATAAATTCCATATATCTTTCATCATCTTCTCACCCCCCCCCCCCCCCTACCCTACTAAGATGGGTTGTACTCAAAACTGACAAACCAGGCTAAGCCCGTTTTCGTGGCTTTGCCTAATTCCCAAATAAAAAGCTAATCGGTTAAGGGGTTCATGAGTTATGATGGGTCATACAAACTTTGTTTTAAGATATCTATTTATCTATTATTTAAATGGGTAAATTGTCCAAATTTGATTTTTTTCAGAAAAATTTTCATATTGATTTCTGTAATAACAGGGCATCGATACTGAAATACCTAAGTTCACAAATGAACTCAAATAAAAGCATATAAAAGGCATAAAAGTATTCTTATTATAATTGTAAATTTTTAAGGATAACACATAAAGTCAGCTGAACGACAACTCAAACAAAATCTTTAAATTCCATTTTTAAGATTTTGTTGAGACCACATTTGAAGACTCAAGCAACAGTATTGGCAGCAATAGCAGTATTGGCAGTATTAGCAGCACTAAGAGCAGTTCAAATGCCAATGGGACAACCAGAAAACAAAAGAAAACGGACAGAAAAACAAATTAACGATCATATTATATAGAATTATACTAAAGTCATCATTTAATATGTTGTCACTTCTCAGTTTTCAAGACACCCCCTTTAACATTTTTTTAGTAATCCATTTAAATGTTTCGAAACATATGTTGTATGTATTCTTACTTCTTAGTGTAGGAAGAATAAATATTATTTGCATTTTTGACAGAAAATACAATTATGGTGGATGCATTTTTATTTCTCAGGTTTATATATTTAGTGAAAATTTAACATCACACGCTCATAGCAATACAGCCAATATGTTCTGACCATAATGAAATTATATGCAATTATGCGAAATTTATGTGCAATGTTTGCAATAAAAAAAAATTGCCAAAAATGATTTTATTTTTAATAGATTAAATGTAAGAAATGTGAAGGAAAAAAACTATTATTGATTTGAGTCATAGATGAAACTTCCAAGGCACTGAACCCGAACGTCCAGATTAGGGTGACCACAAGGTGTACATCAATTTAGAATTTGCGCATTTTATCAAATGCAATACTTGCATTTTATTCTTAATTCTGAATGCTGACAAATTCCATCTTCTAAATTCCAAGATAAAGGTACCCAGAGATAAGAGAGTTACAGAGATCGATTAACACCTATAATAGGCGATATTTTCCACCGCATGTTCTATTGTGTACAAGTACTGTACACGACCAATCAGCAAACATCTGTATTCAGGGATATTTATGGATCCTTTAAATAGGAAATGCAAATCTTTAAAAATAGACAATATTCATAAACGTTATGTTTTATGTTTAAAATTGGAGTATTTCTTATAAAGTTGTAAAACCCCTAAATACAACAAGTGGCCGTTAGATGTCAGTCAAAAAACATTACATGGAACCGTAGCATGGCGTGCTGGGACGCTATAGGCCTGCTCAGCCTATCCAGGTAGAGTGTATGAGCAGTCTGTGTAGTCTGTGAATGTACTTTAATACAAGGTAACCTTGAAGTGTCGCAACGCTTTGGGCTTAGATTTTACCGCTCTAACTTACTTGTGCTTTTCTATAGCCGTTTACATGTCAAATTTAACAATATAAAGTACTTGTTTTGTTTTTAAGAAGTAATTGGCTAAATTCTCATAGATTTTTGCTTGACAGAGTGAGTAATGAATTTGCTGAGCTTCCTGCAAGAAAAAAAGCTTAATCGGCTTAATCCGAGCTTGAATATACAGGGTGTCCAAATAAACATGGGAATTCAGTGACGAATTCGATATCGTATTTTTAAATAATTCTTTGATTTAGTATAGTGATACCTACCGAGAAAGCTGTAATCT